TTTCATGTGATCATATCGTGCAGGTCCTCTTTGCACACCTCTAAGAAAAATTAGCTCTGGCTTGGTAAAAATATGTTGTCCATGCTTATTGTTGGATATGATGTACAATGGAAACTCCTCTGTCGCCCCGTTTTTGATTTGATGATTTTCATGCAGTATTTCCATGTTTATCATATGCACGGCTGGATAACTCTGAAAACTAGTTGGAATATTTATATCACTTTATCCTGGTCAATTTTTAGGGGACAAGCAGATGAAGTTACATCCAATATGTATATTGCCAAAATTTGTCAAATTGAAAATGTCATGACGTTAATTTTTAATGTACAGTATTGACAAAATTTAAACCCCGTTTTGTTCCTTTATTTCAGCTCTTCCAGTGACACTGGTCTTGCTGGGGAAAAAAGGTTTTCATTTTATTTCACGTCCCTACAACGTTGCGATCTTTGTGTGGTCCTCACCGTGCCCAACGTCGGGTGGGACCATGGTCTTGGCGTTGCCTCCTCTTCCTGTGCCACTTCCTCCTCTTCCTGTGCCACTTCCTCCTCTTCCAGCGCCACTTCCGGGTTTCTCTCTTACCCTCTCTGCTGGAGCTTCCGACTTCCGCCCACGACCCCGGCCCTGGGGTCTCCAGGCTGGCTCCATGTTAGCCAGTGGGGCAAAGTCCCACGTTCAAGCTGATCTTCTGCACAAAAGGGAATTCTTTGTTGACCTATTCAAACGTCACCGCGACTGAATATTGCACAGTAACAGCAAAAGCAGTAACAGTAATGATAGTTGTTGAACAAGCTCTCATATGACGACAGATGACGTTCCAAAAGTGAGCACAAAGCTAACAAGCCGGCTAGCTAGTTGGGACGAAGACGTGCGGTAGAAGCTCCCAAAAAGCAACGTGAAAGTCGTTATGGAACATACAACGTTAAATAAGTGTCTACTGACGTAGAGCCGAACGCGTTAAACAAAGGCACAAAGATAAAAAGGCAGCGTGAACAAACCTCGTTTCTTCTCTCACAGTTGCAGCAGTGTTGATTCAACGCGCAGCTGCCACGCGCACCTCTGCGCGCTGCATGCTGGGACTTTTCGTCCATTTATAATCGCGTGCGGGAAGGCTGAGGACTACAAATCCCATCACTTGTTGAGAAACAGCTGCTGGGCGACGTGGCAACTGATTATTCATTAATATTGTTTATTATCATGCCACATCATTCCAGGAAACAACATTTAATCAGCGCGTTTCTATCACAAATCAAACTTTAGCTATTTAGCTGTGGTGCTTTAATGCAAGGGGTTCTCAAACTGGGGATTGTGAGCCATTAGTTTTTTTTGGGGGAGGAGTGCAAAATCGCAGTCAGTTATGTCCACTCGTACCCACTTGATACATTGTCTGTTTCAGCAGGAATGAAGTTGCTCGTCTGGAAATAGTCGCTTAAGCAGTCACTAAATGTAGCAACCAAACTGCCAAGTTAGTAATGGTGACACTTGTCAACAAGGTCCTCTTTGTTTGCAGCCAAGTAGTCAGCGTAAGCGATGTACGTCCGCTTGGGACAAGGGATGTGCGAAATTTTATTCAGTTCAATGTGATTAAATTCCGTTCAATGAACCAGATGATAAATATTGATGTTGAAACCAAGAACAAATTATTCCACTGGCATTTTGGAGATGCGTGGCAGTTACGTAAGGGTAATGAGGGCGGCCTTGGGGAAAAATTATCTGCCTGGACTCCAAAAGTTTGAGAACATTAAAGATCGTCTAAAAGTAATTGATCTTTCAATTTTGATGATTGTTTTAATTCCGGCACATATGCTTAATGTGCATTAGGATTATGAGGAGGTTCTTAGCGCAACGTCTCTATTTAAGCGGTCCCCGGAGGCCAACATTTTTATAAGCCGTGATTTTGCAGTCTAGCAATTAACATTATGTCTGTGTCCTTGGTTCAGAATATGAACAGAACGCACACTTCCATAGCCTTGCTGAAGTTGGTGTCACACATCCCACAATGCACTGTGCCAAATGTAAACAACGCCATATTGGCAGAATAGAAAACGATGAAAACCAACGGCGAATCAGGAATTTCACCATAACCAAACGCCTGCGGGGATTCAGTCACATGACATCCGGAAGTCCTATGTTCGTCATTCGCTAGCTGGCGGCGGTGGGCCGCCGCCTGCCTGGGATGGGAGCTTCTTCTCCAGTCTGCTGACTCGATGTTTGAGCTTGCTGTGCGTGGCCTCGTGCTCGGCAAGCAGTCGCGCGTAACGTGTCTGCAGGCCATCCAGCATGCTCGCCATCCGCTCCACTTTCTCTTCCATCTCCTTGGGGTCGGGGCCCTGCGCCGCCACCTACGGGACAAGTGAAAACATAACAAGTGAGTGGCAGATGTTTCCAGGAGATGAGGTGGTAGCGCTGGATGTACCTCCAGGTCCAGTAGGCCATCCTTCATCAGGATCTGTCTGCCCTTTTCCTCTAACAAGGCCTTGGCGTCAGGGTACTCGGTTAGCGCCTCCATCAGGTCGTCCTTGGAAAGGCAGAAGAGGTCGGAGTAACCGATGCTGCGGATGTTTGCCGTTCGCCTGTTTCCAGCTTTGCTGCCTGTTAGCGAGGAAGACGGTCAAAGTTGTGAAGACAGAGGTGGCAAAAAGTCATCGCACTCTATTCTGAAGTAGGCGTGTCTACATGCTTGCCCAACTTACTGTTTTTTTATTATTATTAAAATTATTATGAATAAAATGATTACTAAAGCGGGGGTGGCCAACCAGTCAGAGACTAAGAGCCAATTTTTGTACTGTGTTACTGCAAAGAGTCATAACACACACACACACACACACACACACACACACACACACACACACACCCCTGCCTTAAAATCTGAGAAAATTCGCTGACTAGCTTAGCGTTTAGCACTGAGCACCGTTGTTTGCGCGTGCGCGGTGATTCAGTTGTCATCCGATTGGTTGCCCTGTATGTCAATCAAGTAACGGGTTTGCTGATAGGCTGACGTCGTAAGTTCTGTGTATTTAGCGCCGTTGTTTGAATGGCAGCGCCACCGCCGAGGCGTTTTCGACGCTTGTCATTTGAAAGCCCGGGAGCCACATTGAGCCAGCCAAAGAGCCGCATGCGACTCGCGAGCCGCGGGTTGGCCACCCCTGTTCTTAAAAATCATTGAGAGCCCAGAAAAAATTCCATTATTATGATTATCATTCCAGTTATATGAAGCAGGTTGCACTTAGTCTCCTTGACCACTGTGACACGCCTAGAGAATGAATTTCTCATGCTCACCCTTGATGGCCAGGATACTGATCTCGCCAAAGTAGCTGCCGTCGCTAAGGACCACAAACTGCTTGATGCCGTCGTCAGCCACCACGGCAAGCTTGCCCTCCTTAATGATGTACATCTCGCGCCCGATGTCACCCTTTTTGCAGATGTAGTCTCCGGGACTGTAGACCTGCGGCTGCAGCTTCAGCACCAGCTCCACGAGCAGACCTGCCTCGCAGTCGGCAAAGATACGCACCTGCACGCCAATGAACACACAAATGAAACGAGTTATGAACTGTTCCAACATTTAAAAAGAGCGAGGGTCATCCTGCCGTGGCTTCTGACCTTCTTGAGTGTGTCCAGGTGCACGTTGATGGCAATCTCGGCTCTCAGCTTGTCCGGAAGATACTTGAGGACTTCCCGTTCGTCCACCGCCTTCTTGTTGGTCCACAGGAAGTCGAACCACTTTATGACGCGCTTCTCCAGGTCCTTGGTGACCTGGGGGCCACCAATGTCGTCATATCCTTGGATAAAACTTGCAAAAAGACTCACCTCCACTTTGACTTGGTGCTAAAGTCATTCGACTGAACTTGAAATCCAGCGTGTGATTTGACAAGTTTTGCCATCTGTGAAATTTCTTTCAGATAGTGCCCATTTTTTAATTTATTTGTTTATTTCTTTGTGTAGTGCGCACAAAGCTGGCAGCCAACTAGTAAGTATTACGGAGGGAGAACCGAAGATGACATTTGGATGTAAGGATCATGTTTTTGGTGAAAGAAGAAAATAACATCCAGGCGGCTCAGTCGGCCAGTGGTTAGCGCCTCAGCCTCACAGTGCAGAGGTACCGGGTTTGATTCCAGCTCCGGCTTTCCTGTGTGCATGTTCTCCCCAGGCCTGTGTGGGTTTTCTCCGGGTACTCCAGTTTCCTCCCACATTCCAAAAACACGCATGGCAGGCTAATTGAACGCTCTAAATCACTGGTGTCAAACTCAAGGCCCGGGGCCAGATCTGGCCCATCACATCATTTGATGTGGCCTGCGAAAGCAAATCAAAAGTGCTGATTTCTGTGATGCTTGCTAAAATTTTGACCAAAATTTCAAATTCTCATCCATAATGTATAAGAGAGCGATTGTACGTTTTCTTGTGACCAAAACCGTCATTACAGTAACTTCAACTATGGTTGAATAAACCATTATTCTTGACTTCGTTATATGGTTTCACAGTCATAACGGCCCTCCAAGGGAACCGCTAACTATAATGTGGCCTGCGACAAAAATGAGTTTGACACCCCTGCTCTAAATTGTCTCGAGGGGTGATTCTGAATGGTTGTACGTTTCTATGCGTGCCCTGGAATTGGCTGGCAACCGGTTCAGGGTGTCCCCGGGCTACTGCCCGAAGACAGCTGGGACAGGCTCCAGCATGCCCCCGCGACCCTTGTGATGGCTTTAAATTTACAGTTTGTCTCACAGATAGCTGGCTCATGTGCGAATACAGTATATGTGGTTGAGCAAGATTGTACGACTTGAATTATGGCTTGTGATGACTTGCTGGATTTTCGCCACTGTGACTTGCGACGTTCTCGAAAAGTGCGCATCCGTCAATCAACGTCATTTACAAGGTTGATCACACTGACCTTGCGGAAGCTCATGTACTGCTTGATCGCATCGATGCGAGCCTGAAAGCTGGCACGGGCGGCATTCATGTTGGTAATCATGGAGCCCACATTACCCACGATGGTGGCAAAGATCAGCACGCCCACCTGCGGCGGACGGAGAGTGAGCGCCGAGGCCTTTGAGAGCCGGGGCGTGATGAAACGCACCAGGAAATCGGTGACCACAAAGAAGTACTCGGAGTTCTCCACGGGGGGCGGAGTCTCTCCAATGGTGGTCAGCGTCAGCGTGGACCAGTACATACTGTAGGCGTATTTTCTCACCAGGCGTCCGAACTCCGGGTTGGCCGGGTCAGGATACACGAACCTGTCCGAGCCAAAACCTGAGGAGGGCGGAGGAAGAATTCATTGGCCAAAAATCTATTTCGTATAAATAACGGACTAAAAATGGAAGATTAAGTTTGATGCCGCGTTAAGCGATACGGAGACACCGAAATTTTGAATCCGGGAAGTCCCACCAATGGCCTTGGAGAAAGAATAGTAGAGGCAGGCGTTCCAGTGGATGATGATGACGATGTACATGACCAAGTTGGAAATCCGCAGCGCGTTGGGGTAGTTGGTTCTGGTCTCGGTTCTCTGGAAGAATTCCAGCATCCTGAAAAGAGACACGTCATGCTAGCCCCCGGTCGCCGCTGCTAATATCACCGAGGTGCTCCTGCCGGTTTTCACCTGTTGAACCTCAGCAGCTTGTTGAGGCGGATCTCGGGGTAGTTGAAGCCCAGTGTGCCGTACAGAACATCGGTGGGGATGATGGAGAGTACATCGAGTTGGAACTGGAAACTCTTTCTGTAACGCTGGCGTAGCTTCTGCTCATCCTTCACCAGAAGACCCTGTTCCAGATAGCCTGGGCGCAAACCACGACCGTGGCCGTAATAACCATGACAATGTCCAAGATGACGACTGCGGGCACAAACCTGTCCTGGTTCTGAAAATCATGTCGGCCACATACAGCAAGTCGCAGAGAAAGTCCAAGAAGAACCAGTACCGCAGGTAGTCCATTTGAAGCTCCTCGAAGCACGCCCTGATGTGGTACCGGTAGTTGGCGGCGGAACACTGGGATGACCGGGATTGGGAATATTACCTGGCGATGATGAAGGTCCAGTTGTACATGACGGGAAGCGTGATGATGAGGAGCCAGTGGTAATATGTGTTCCCCGCCGGGTCCACCACTGCGATCTCCCGTGGACTAAGGACAATCCACACACACAATCCGATTCATCTTCCAAGGGGTGGGAGTAAATCGCTTTAGAGGTATGCCGGGAGACTTTCGGGAGTGGTGTCACAAAAGATATTTTTCAATCCTAAAGTACAAGCTACAGTTAGTTTGGCCCTTCAACCGGCATGCCGACAAAGAGATCCTGTCGAGAAGAGGCGAGAGATGTGGAAGGACGACTTAATGGCAACGCGGCTGCTCACAATGCTCTGAGCATCCGACACTTCCTCGCCGTGCTGGAGCAACCCCCGTACTCACCCGAGTTGGCTCCATAAGATTTTTTTTTTTGTGTTGTATTATTTTGTCATTTTATGTTAATCGTTCTTTTGATGGCGGCGCGGGCACCCGCAGCGGCTCCTCTTGTTGTCTTGCTGTCTGGTTGAGAGGGAAGAAATTTATGTGCAACATACAGCGCATTTGACAATAAAGTTGTACTTGACTTGACTAAAGATGTTGATGACACCAAGATGCGAGTGAAGATGGAGCTGTGGAGGACCTCGGAGGAATCCTTTCAAGTTGCAGGGACAGCTGGGAAAAGGCATTAGACTTCCAAGGGGAAAATTCGGAGTTTGGATTTGGAATATTTCTTTTGTGACACCAGTTGCGGAACCTTTCTGACACACCTCAAGTGTGCAAGTCATAAGTTAGTCCCAAGTAAATCGAAGTATTGTAACTCGAATCGGCCACCTCTGTCATCTTTATGACATCAACCTACACTGCCTCCTTTTTCTCCTCCTCCTCCTTCGCTTTCTTCTTTTCCTCCTCTTCTTCCTCCTTAGCTTTCTTCCTTTCCTCCTTGCTGTGGAGAAAGCAAACAGAGGTAAAGGAGGAAAACATCAACAGAGTCCATCCAATCGTTGGTACCTCCGAACCAATTTTGGGAATGAAAAAAACAAAAAGAAAAGGAACATTTTTTTGAGGGCGACTCACACCACCCTGGATCCCGTTGCCACATTCGGAACCGAAAGATGAGGATTCTGTTGTATATGGGCTGTCTCTTACATTGCGGTTTTCTACCTTTGGAACGCAAAGCACTTCACATGGTTTCCTATTTTACCTACTGATGATACAGCATCAGGGAGTTCAGTATATTGCTCATGGACACTTAGATGCAGTTGCAATGGTCGAGGATTGAACCCCACAACCTCTGGGTTGGAGATGACCATTCTACCATTGAGCCTTGTTGCCCCCTGTTCGTCAGATTACTTGTTTTTTCAAACAGTGTTTACATCAGGATCATTAATTAGAAAAACTGTTTTGCTTCCTTCTCGGAATTATGGTTCCGCACCAGGGAAAGAATTGCTGTTCCTATTTTAATAGTGAACTGCCGGTCGTAAGGGGGAGAAATAAGCAAAAGAATCTAAGAGCTTACACTTTCTTGTCTTTCTTCTGTTTTTTCTTCTTTTTCTTCTTCTCATCCCTAGAAGACAAACGGAAATGTGTGCAGTGGAGAGCATTGGGAGTAACGTATGCGTGTGTGTGTGTGCGTGTGTGTGTGTGTGTGTGTGTGTGTGTGTGTGTGTGTGTGTGTGTGTGTATGTGTGTGTGTTACTTGTCTTTGTTGTTGTTGCTGTTGTTGATATTGAAGAGATCTCCAGCACACCTGAAACACACAGGCAGAGGAAAAAGTACTTAAGTAGAAGTACTGATTATGTAAAAAAAAAATAATAATAATAATAATAATCATAAAAAGCAGAAGGACTCATTCAATTCCTTTACCACAATAAAATCCAAAAAGTAGACACCCAGAAATTAACTCAAATCCATTTTAAGTGTCAACGATGAAGTGGTTCTGCGAAGCAATTAATTAAGGTGTACCCCTTACCAGATATCAGTTTTCAAATCTGGGAAGTAAAATTTAAAAAAAAAAGTTGCCCGAAAAAGAAACTCAAGCACAGATGAAACTGAAAAAAAAAGTACTCAGGAACAGTCATGACATTTTTGTCACGTCCAAGCACTGCGCTTGTGACTCACCGGTGGTCATCCATGTCGTCCAAAAGTGGGGCAGCCGCATGAACTGTCGAAACCTGGGCCATGGGGTGCGCTCCTTCCTTCTAGTGTATACACACACACACACACACACACACACACACACACACACACACACACACACACACACACACACACACACACACAATGCGTACGAGGTCTCTTTGCATTGCAGTCATTGCATCACTCACCTGTCAGGTGATAAACTGTTGCCCCCTGCCCCGGGTTACGCCGTCTACATCCAAGCCATTGCCATGGAAACACAACTGCGCCCCCCCCCTCGACCCCCAAACAACCTTGAAATCCACCAGAAGAAAGAAAAACTTTCCCCCCCGACCCAGCAGAAGCGTTCAGTCGTAGATAAAGAGATTAGCGGATGATCGGGGGCGACTCACGCGCACGCACGCGCACTGCTAACCTTGGCGTCAACAAACGTTTGAAAAACTACAACTTTGGGCTTCAAGTTGATAAACTTTGCACTTGAGATGACTCTATTAGACAACAAGGAGGAAGAAGAAAGGACGAGAAGAATAAGTGGAGAAGAGAAGAATAAGCCACGCTCATTTAGATGAGTCAGCACACACACACACACACACACACACACACACACACACACACACACACACAAAACCTCACACAGGCAGCTTTGACAGGCTTAAGTTTGTCAAGTGAAGAAGATAGGTGGTACAGTTTCTAGCGACCAGCAGGTGGCGCTGAAGGCAAGCGTCGTGTGGGAAGCATTCATCTCAGTCTCTATTTCCTAAAGACTGTACAGTATTGGGGTTTCGATTTGGCAGCCGTGGCCAGATAATTACGGTCGTTACCTTCCCCCCTGGGGGGACAGCGGTTCAAAACGACCGCTCCCGGACACACGGTTGCAGTGTGTGCCATTTACATTGCGTGGCCAAATTTCGTGTTCCGTGTACATGATTTTTAAAAAAATTATCTTCTACTTGACTATTGTACAATCATCGAATCATTGAAATGAAAAATAGTTTTGGAATCTTACTTGTTTTTGAGGATGGTGACTTTGATGGCGCATTCAAGTTTGTTGAAACGACTTTTGGAGACAATAAACAAATGTAGAAAAGAACACGTGAGTAAGTGTTGATTAAAATGAAGGAAAAGAAAAGACATGCGTTGGCCGGGAATCGAACCCGGGTCAACTGCTTGGAAGGCAGCTATGCTCACCACTATACCACCAACGCCTGCGACAAACTAGGACAAAAATTATGATAATAAAGCTTTTCTTTATGTTTTTTTTTTTTTTTTTTTTTTTTTACCAATTGAAAACAAAAATACTTACGTCTAATGTACGTCCCCCCATCCCCTTTTCTTTGCCGGCTGCTCAACGTGAAGGAGCCATTTATGCCTTTTAATGTTGCACCTTCTACTGTGGTCCACTAGAGGGCGGTGTACCGTGCACCTATTTCAAATTCATTTGTTTTGGGAAGGGGTCAAAGGTCACCGGACCACCCAACGAGACAGGCCAACGCTGACCTGCGACCTCTGATAAATGAAGGCGGTGACTAATGACAGCGCAGCAGCAGAGGCCTCTTACTGGCGTGTGTGTGTGTGTGTGTGTGTGTGTGTGTGTGTGTGTGCGTGTGTGTGCGTGTGTGTGTGTGTGTGTGTGTGTGTGTGTGTGTGTCCGCGTGTGTGCGCGCGTGTGAGACATCTCTTCCTGGCGAGCCGCCAATCATCTTCACACTTTGCCGCCTCCTCTTCCTCCCCGGGCGCCAATCAGACGCCACGCGGCGCGCGGCCACGGGTGGCGCCAGACGCAGCGGAGGGCACGAGCCGACACGCGCTTCCCCTCCCCCTTCCTGTCAGCGAGCATCAGCCTG